TGTAATTTATTCACAGCACTGTGCAAAAGAATAAACACACCCTTATTTACAACAAGCATAAACTCCCTTTGAGTAGAGCTGTGCACAACTGTACACAATATTGCAGTACATATTGGAACTGAATCTACAACACACACAGGTCTGTAAATCAGTCATCAAATTGTTCAATTTAGAAGACCTTTTCAGAAAAATAAAGATTTAAATATCTTTTATAACATTTGGTTGACAGATTTTGACAACTAGTTCAACATTTTTGTGTGTAACGACTTAATTAAATGACTATTCAGCATCCACAAGTTTGGTTCATTTTGACTGACATGACATAAGCAGATGATAATGTTATAAACAGCAGAGAGTTGTATGAAAGCACTTGATGCATGTCCACAAGCATTTGCATTGTGTTGGAAGGAATGAGAAACTGCTGCTAGGATGTGCACAAATGACTGACTGTTATGAGAAATGCGTTTACTGTTGTGCAAATGTAAATAGTGCTGTGAGAAATGCACCAAAGCAAGTTTCAGTTGACGGCTGTGTCAAAGCAATCAAGAAAAACTGCAAACTAAAATCTTTTTTTATAACTTGTATAAATCTTATTTATTTTATTTAGTTTTATGCACATTTGTATTCTGTCAAAAGAAAAAAAAAAAAAAAAACAGTAGCGACAACAGTAGAGTAACCATTTTCAAAAACTGGGCTGAGACTGAAAAGTGGCCATGAGGGATATTTCAATGGTCTTCTGAGATAGTGACAAAACAACTAAACACTTGCAGTGCTTACACAATGCCAAAGGGACGAAGCATTTTGGGGGCACTAACTGTTTAAAGTTCTGACACACAAGTGAACAGTTAGGAAATATATGAGCTTTTGCAATGGGCTAGTGTTGTGCTACAGAAACAGGCTCAGACACAGCCATATCACCCTGCAGCCCAAGACCGGTTACTCACTGAAGCTAAGCAGGGCTGAACCTGGTCAGTGTCTGGATGGGAGACCACTAGGGAACACTAGGTTGCTGTTGGAAGTGGTGTTAGTGAGGCCAGCAGGGGGCGCTCAACCTGTGGTCTGTGTGAGTCCTAATGCCCCAGTATAGTGAAGGGGACTCTATACTGTCAGTAGGCGCCGTCTTTCAGATGAGACGTTAAAACAAGGTCCTGACTCTCTGTGCTCATTAATAATCCCATGGCACTTCTCGTGAAATGAGCAGGGGTGTAACCCCGGTGTCCTGGCCAAAGTCCCTCTATCGGCCCTTCATGGCCGATCATGACCTCCTAATCATCCCTATCCACCGAATTGGCTCTATCACTGTCACTTCACTCCACCAATAGCTGGTGTGTGGTGAAGCTGGTGTTGTTCTGTGGCTGCCGGAGCATCATCCAAGTGGAGCTCCACACTGGTGGTGGCATGGAGAGACCCTCCTCATGATTGTGAAGCGCTTTGGGTGTATGACCATACACAATAATGCGCTATATAAATACACATTACATTACATTACATAAACTGTAAGACTGTTTTACAAAACAACCTTATAGTGATGAGAATGTAACTCCTGTTTCAAGAAATGAGCCAAACCAAATGAGAAAAACTGTAAGTCGTTAAATACATGATGATCAGTGTAATAATAACAATAATAATAATAATAATAATAATAATAATAATAATAATAATAATAAAGCATAATGAGTTAAAAGCATCACCTCTCTAGCAACTTTAATAGACATCAGAATCTCTTCCACCATGTCACTGAGCTCTTTGATCAGCTCTTCATTCAAGAAGGTCCTCTTCTTCAGGAAGTCCAGCAGACTTGAAAATTTTTCCCAGAAGTTTTTCAGGTCGACCAGATTCTGCTGCATTTGAGAAAGACATTTCTGCACGTCCTTCAGATGCACGGGGTCGGGAATCACACCTGGACAAACAGCAAATACTAATCACTATAACATGACTTGATGAACTTATATTATTTTTAACCATTGTGCAGTACTGCAGTTCAAAATATTAATGTTATTAATAATAATTTCTTTAATATTACTGAATAATATGCAAATGTTTATGTGATTTATGTAAAATACAGTTGGTAAAGAATATTTTCTGCTTTTTAGATATTATTTTGAGAGACTTGCGTTGTTTACCAAACAAGTATTTCTGATTGTAGCTGCATGGAAAACCTTAGTTTATTTCTTCAGTTAGTTAAAGTTCACTCTAAGCTGATGATTGATTAAAAGCAAGTTTGGCATTTCCCCCATGTGTAAAAAAAGCGCTGTATAAATGTAATCAATTATTATTATCATCATCATTATTATTATTATTATTATTATTACTATTATCATCATTATTATCATTATTATTATGATTATTATTATTATTATGATGATGATTATTATTATTATTATTATTATTATTATTATTATTATTATCATTATTATTATCATTATTATTATCATTATTATTATCATCATCATTAATATTATCATTATTATTATTATTATTATTATTATTATTATTATTATTATTATCATTATCATTATCATTATTATTATCATTATTATTATCATCATCATTAATATTATCATTATTATTATTATTATTATCATCATTATCATTATCATTATTATTATTATTATGATTATTATTATTATTATTATTATTATTATCATTATTATTATTATCATTATCATTATTATTATTATCATTATTATTATCATCATCATCATCATCATCATCATCATCATTATTATTATTATAATTATCATTATTATTATTATTATTATTATTATTATTATTATTATGCTGTGCCGGGAGAGAGCCCTGAGCTCAAAAGCTCCTTGAGCCCTGGGCTCCCTCCTGTTTGCAGGGCGAGAGGGGAGCTTTGAGCTCAGGTAGATCTCGAGAACTCCCCCTTGATGACAGAAAGAGATGTGCTGCTGCATGGGAGTTTGACTGTAGTGCTAAATTTAGCTTGATCAAGTCACTTGTAATGCATGTTTTCAGTATGTGGGAGGAAACCGGAGAACACAGGGGAAACCCACTCAAACACGAGAAGAACATGCTAACTTCGCACAGAAATGACAGCTGGCCTGTTAAAGGACTAGAACTTGTGACGTTCTTGCAATGAGGCAACCGTGCTAACCACTGGGCCACCGTGTCGGCCTATAAAGGGAAAGGTGGAGGAGTAGGGGTGGAAGGGGGGATTCTTCAAACCGAAGATGACTGTAGTGAGAAACCCTGGCTCTTTATAGTGGGTTAGGAATCGTCTGAGTGGTGGATCATACATGCTAATGCAGAACCAGCCGTGTTTAATTAGTTCATTAATAAACTTCTCTTAAATTCCTTAGCTACTAACACTCTCAAAGTCATTCCTGCAAAATTCTGTGCAGAAAAAGCAAAATCAAGTGTGTGCAGATTCTGTCTGGGCCTGGTTATGAAGAACGTGTGTTTTCTGAATGAATTATGATGTCGGTGGTTTTGCTGGAGCTCTTATTTTGAGCTGTATATGAGCACTTGTGCTGCTCTGAGGGAGTTTTGGAGGTGAGCTGAACAGTTTAGACTCATGTTGGTAATCAACACAGTTTTGCAAATATCTCTTCAGTAATGCACAATTACAAGTCAAAACAAAAACCCTGTAATAGTAAAATCTCTCACCCAGTTGTATTTTAGCAGTGGAGAGCTCCAGCTGCAGCTCAGTCTGTTTAACATGGATGTCCCACTCTTTTATTTGCAGATCCCTCTTTTGAGCGGTGAGTTGGGACAGATCGTCGTTGAGAGATTGAGTTTTAGCAGCTTCATCAGGATCAGTCGCTGCATCCACCATGGCCTTAATCAAGAAGCCAAAAGCAGGCACCAGCGCACTCATGATACTCAAGTCATGATTTTTTTCCGACAAGTGTTCAAGATGTCTCTCAAGCTCAGCGTTTTTCTCCTCGATTTGTCTCTCCAAGTTCGCCACATCTTGGACTGTTATGTTCATGTCCTCGTCCAGCTTCTCTAAAGCATTGTTTAGACTCTTGATCTGTTCGGAGTGTTCAACGAGCTGGTTTTCATTGTCATTCTGCACCTGAATCACGTCACTGGTGCACGACGCCACGCTGAGGTTATGTTGTTCATACCTGTGGATGATGGAGTTGAACTGAATTGCAAGCAGTGTAAACAATGCAGTTTTAAAATCACCACAGTTGAACAAAATGATAACCAACCCAGGCTGTATGTCTGACAATATGAGACATGCTTTCAGAAAAAAGTGTGTAAACAACTTTCATGACTGTAATAAAACTGTAATAAATCTGTTTTGTTTAAATGCACCAAAATACACTGAGAAATAGAGGAAAATATTAATTTCCAAAATGGGCTGTACTCTATTATACTGAGCACTGTATGTATATATATATATATATATATATATATATATATATATATATATATATATATATATATATATATATATGTATGTATATAGACAACCATACATGTAAATATATGTATGTTTGTATATTATTGTATTTATTACTACATTAGTTGATGCTTAATTTAACCATCATAAACTCATGATATGTTAATGTATAATTATATCATGACTTTACTTAGAGGGGCACATCCTCATTAACCCATTCTTAACTAATAATGAACACCTTATACATATCCATTTAGTGCGACAACGGTAAATAACAATAGAAAAGTGTTCTGTCAAAAATGAACAGTTTAAACACAGAAGTTCATGAGTAGTTAAGGGTGAG